TATAAAGAGACCTTACGAGGTTAAAACATCATCATCAGCCCTTTTCAGTCCACTGCTGGACATAGGCCTCTCCTATTGCACGCCACTGGGATCGATCTTCGGCCACTCGCATCCAGCTCCTGCCAGCCATCTTGCGCAAATCATCACTCCACCTTGCCTGAGGACGTCCTACATTACGTTTGCCGAGACGCGGTCTCCACTCAAGAACTCGTCTACTCCAACGGTCATCGGTTCTTCGGCTAATATGGCCAGCCCACTGCCATTTCAGCTTGCTAATCCGGTGGGCTATGTCGATTACCTTGGTTCTCTGCCGGATCACCTCGTTTCTGATTCGATCCCGCAGAGAAACGCCGAGCATAGCCCTCTCCATAGCTCGCTGAGTGACTTTTAGCTTGTGAACCAGCCGCACCGTCAGTGTCCACGTTTCGGCTCCGTATGTCATGACAGGTAGGACGCACTGATTGAAGACTTTCGTCTTTAGGCACTGTGGGATCGACGACGTGAAGACTTGACGCAGCTTTCCATATGCTGCCCAACCTAGCTGAATTCTTCTATTCACCTCGTTCTCGAAGTTGTTTCTACCCATCTGCAATGTCTGCCCGAGGTATACATATTTTTGAACGACTTCGAGAACAGCGCCGTGTACTGCAATCGGTTCCGGTAGTACATGTTCATTGAACATGACCTTGGTTTTATCCAAGTTCATCCGTAGGCCGATGCGTATAGAAGAGTCAGCCAGGTCATTCAGCATCCGTTGTAGGTCCTGCAGCGTTTCTGCTACGATGACGATGTCGTCTGCAAATCGCAAGTGAGAGATGTACTCGCCATTTATGTTGATGCCGCGTCCTTTCCAGTTCAGCGTCTTGAACATATCCTCCATTGCATTTGTGAACAATTTCGGGGAGATAACATCCCCTTGTCTCACACCTCGATGCAACGGTATCGGCCTTGTTTGCTGATCCTGTACTTGGACGGACATGGTGGCGGCCTCGTAGAGACATCTCATCACTTGGATGTATCGCCAATCTACTTGGCATCGCTGCAGGGACTCCAGAACAGCCCAGATTTCGACCGAGTCAAAGGCTTTCTCATAGTCCACAAATGCTAGGCACAGGGGCTGATTATACTCCTCAGTCTTCTGTATAATCTGCCGCACTGTGTGGATGTGGTCTATGGTGCCGTATCCGCTCCGAAACCCAGCCTGCTCCGGTGGTTGGAATTCGTCAAGTCTTCGCGCAAGGCGGTTCGTGATCACTCTCGAGAACAGCTTATAGACGTGGCTTAAAAGGGAAATGGGTCGATAATTCTTCAGTAGGGTTTTGTCACCCTTTTTGAAGAACAAGACGACCACACTCCGACTCCACGCCTCTGGAGTTCTCCCTTCAAACAGGACAGCGTTAAATAGCTTTTGCAGCTCCCTGAGTACCGGTTTGCTGCCTGCTTTTAGAAGCTCTGTCGTAACGCCATCCTCTCCAGGGGCTTTTCCATTTTTAAGCTGTCCAAGAGCGATCTCGATTTCGTCAATGCTGACTTCTGGCAGGTCTTCGGTGTAATGGCGTATTAAAGTGGCTCTAGAGTCCTCATTTCCGGGGTCAGGTCGAGATGCATGCGAAGCGTATAACCGGCCGTAGAAGTTTTCTACTTCCGAAAGAACTGCCGGCTTCGAGACAACGACTTCTCCACTTGCTGTGGTCAACTTCGTCAGGTGGCTTCTTCCAAGAGATTGTACGAACACTTTTGGCCCCCGGTTTTGCTCGATCGCTCTCTCGATTGCAAGGGTATTCGAGCACCGGAGATCGTGTCGCACGTGTTTGCTAATCTCTCGGTTTAGAGCCCGCTTCTCTGACGAAGTGACGGGTGGGTTTTCACGTCGTCTCTTCATAAGCCCTAAAGTCTCTTCCGAAAGCTTCGACTTCTTGCCCTTACGCTGCATTTCACAAAATCTCGTACCTTCTTCCCTGAGAACTCGAACCACGTTTTCAAGGTTCCGGTTAACGTCGGTTGTGGTTTCCAGGGCAGCAAATCGGTTCTCCAGGTTTAACTGAAACGCTTCAGATCCCATTTTGATTTGAAACAGGGTTGGTCGGAGCCTGGCCTTCATCAAGCGGACTCGTTCGGCTCTGAAGTCGATATTCAGAGAGCCTCGGACGAGTCGGTGATCGCTACCGGTATTAAACCTATTAATCACGGAGACGTCTCTGAATATGTGCCTTTTGTCCGCCATGATGAAGTCGATCTCGTTCTTTGTCATAGTGTCGGGGCTTTGCCACGTCCACTTCCTTTGGGGCTGCTTCTTAAAGAATGAATTCATTAAGAACATCCCCTCCCGTTCGAGGAAATTGACGAGCATTTGCCCCCTATGATTCCTGTTTCCATACCCATGGGATCCTACTACCGATTCACTGCAATTTTGTACTCCCACTTTGGCGTTAAAGTCCCCCATAACAATGTTGAAGTGAGTCCTAGTGGTGGAGTGGAGGGCCCTCGATATATCATCGAACATCTCCTCCACCTCATCATCGGAGTGTGCCGAGGTCGGTGCGTACACTTGGACCACCTTAAGGCTATACCTCTCGGTGAGCTTTATAATGAGGTACGCCACCCTGTTCGACACACTCGACATTTCCACAACATTGTTAGATAGGGACTTGTTAACCAGAAACCCAACGCCACCTTGGGATTTTTGGTCTCCCTCACGGAAGTACATCAGGTGGCCTGATTTGAGAGTTATCGTGTCCTCCCCCTCTCTTCGGACTTCACATAACCCTAGTATGTGCCACCTGATCTTCCCAAGTTCCACCTCTAGTTGCGCTAGATGCGAGTCAAGCCGTAGCGTGCGTCCGTTGTACGTCGCCAGGGTCAGTCTGTTGTGGTGGCCTCCCGTAGCCCGGAGATTCTTAGCACCCCCTACCCCACCGTTACCATGGTCGCCACCATGACCAGGAATAGTGGGGCTGCCGGGAACTGGGGGCCGTGGCCTTCGTTTTTTGCCCATAGGAGGTTAAAACATTTTGGTAGAATTGTAGCAATTATTGGTAGGAGTATAATTCTAATCAAAAATACCTACCTTCTTTGATAATTCGATATCGATATTATGAATCTGTTTCAACAAATGTTGTAGATTTTAAGAGGGGTGGGAATGAGAAATGAAAATCAGGTGTCAAAATATGTTCTGAATCAAAATGAGGATGGCAAGAAAGATGATGAATAAGATGTATCAATAGACGTGTGAGGATTGATATGACAGAGAAAGGAGGTTGTGAATACGGTAGTGTCCAACTAGTCAAATTCAATACTTTTATCCAAATGTCAAAAATGATACTTTTCTATGAAATTTGTATGAAAAACTGAGGTATGACGTCATAGTATTTTTGCGTCGAATAGCTTACATACTCATTTCTGAAAAATTAGCTACAAAATATCTAAAACTTAGTGTAACGACAAATCGATGAATAAAAGTATAGTTATTTTTCAATATTTTATTGTATTGAAATGTCGATTTTTTTTTTTTTTTTTTTTTACCTAGGAAACTACCCAATTGTGATGATTGGGGGTTTAGTAGGTAGGAAGGCATATTGTACCTACCTCACGTAGTTTGGGATAAGGGCGGGAAAATGAATTCATAATTTTTTTACAAAATTTTAGACGTAGGTATTCAATTCATTAGGTCAAACTAATATCTATTTTGTTTTAAATAGTTTGCTTGATTATGTATAAAGGTTATGCTTACATTTTTTTTATTTGGCCGCTATCGCGCATGGTGGTAAACGATGATGCGACCTACGATGGAGCACGTCTACCCATAAGCAACCTATTCACTCGGGCCTTGAAGACACCCAGGTTATACCCTTCGGGGAACATAGACGCCGCAATGAATTTCGCTCCTTAGCAATTATTTTTTCGGTATCGACATGCTGGATAGAATAGATTGATTTCTTTTCTTTGAGAAGTTGTCAAAATTTATGCCTAATTATAACTTGTATATAAGCGTATATTCCTTAGTATGTACCTACATGATTTTGTTCCAATAACATTTGCTAAGAACAATCAAAAGACTCTAAGTTGGGCGGTAATAATGCAATCAAACGGTATTTATTTCTGTTTATTTAAAAAGCTACAATAAATAGCACTTTTAGACATAAATATTGTTCTTATATCCCAGAAGAAACACCGAAACAAACTCAGAAATCACAATCTCTTTGAAGTTCAGACACAATAAATTTTAATTCAATATAGGTGAACAAATTTAATACATCAGTAGTGACATCTGTTGTGCATTCTGTAAAGAGACCTAATAGGCGCAATTTTCTAAAACTGATATCGTCAATAAGAACCTTCCTAATTATTTTATTAAAATACTACTAACAGTAGCAACAAGACCTACAATTTGTCTGATGGTAAGCAGACACTGTCGCCTTTAGGCGAAGGACTTATCGATAAAAACAGCTATCTTATGGTCGAGAAGATATCTTATGTGCACGGCTATTTTGAAGCGTTTTCATTAGGTGGTTCTGTAATTAAAATACTGATATATACATACAGACTTGAATTTTTTACTACAATTTCAATTGATATAATTGAATAACTAGTTTCAGGAAGATTTGAAATTCATATGTAGAGAAAATTTCGTATCCATTCAGCCGGGGTTGCGGGGTAAGCGCAATGAGGCACTTCGACCTCGGCCCAGAGCAGGAGAAGGAACAGGGGGGTTTTTAGTCAGTAAGAGTCTGACACACTAGCTCCCGCCCGGCCCTGGGCGGGAGAAACCATTTGATGATTTTTCCCTCACAAAAAAAACCATTGTTGTGGATTTAAGACGGTGTCTAATTCTAGTAAATATTTATTTATAAAGATAAGTAGTTACTTCTAGTAAGTAGTACATAAATTTCAATTAACACAAGAGAGCGACAAGCGGCACCTGTTATCGAGTAGTCATAACTTTATATTACTACTCACTACTAGATGGCAGCACTATTAGCTAACTTCAGTAAGGCTGAATACGAATTCCTTAGCCAGAAATCTTGACAACAAATTCGCAATTCTTAACTAACTTCATATCATTACAAGTAAATCTGAAACATGGCGACTGGCGTGAAGTTTTATAACGCTGAATTAAACGATTTTATTGCAAAAAAACAGACAACTCACCCTGAATTGTCTGCAGAATGGCTTAAATTAGAAGAACTTTACAACAAAAAGTGAGTATTACACTATTCTGACTAATAATTCTACTGTTAGATTAAAGTTGAAAAGTCACCATGTCATTGTCCTGAGTTAGAACAAATTTAAACTGTTTTATTATGAATTCAGGTCGATATAACTACTTAAACTCCAATACATCAACTACTATATAACCTAATGCTTGTTATTAACTAAATAACATCAATAAATAGTATTAATTTAGTTTTTATACACGAAACGCGGCACTTTAGTCATTACCTTGTCAAGTATCTTTTACTACGCTTTTCTTGTAGTAAATTCAACTCAAAAGTCGATAAATTACTCATTAACTAACGCAACTACTATCTATTTCTAAGTAAGACAAAGTTACGACACATTTCTTAATAATTTTTTACAGATATTTCATGAATTTCAAATAGTTCATTGAAACCTTAAAATTTATTTCAGATTATGGCACCAGCTTACCCTGAAAGTCCAGGACCTAGTGGAAAAGCCCACTATGCAGACTGGAGACAACCTGATCACCTTATACACTAATTTTGTTAGCTATTTTGAAAATAAGTGAGTAAATTATAACTTTTTATGTCCATTTTCATAAGTTTATCTCTGTTGAAGGTTTTTTTAAAGATCTCTTTGCCTTAATAAGTGACACCCTAGTACAGATGTCCTATGAAATTTAAGTTACAGTTTTTGGAAATATAAATTGTAAATGTTTTTTTTTGACAATTTATTAACAACAAACCTAGTATTTTCTGTAAATGATGACATTGAAACTAATAAGCCAAAATTAACTAACCAAAGTGATCCTCTTAAATAGTATCTTAAATATCCAATCAGCAAACATACAATACCACTGACGTATCTTGGCGAGTCTGAAGTTAGCCCATTGGCTGCGCAGTACACAATTTTGTTCCTATAAGATCCATTGTGCAGACAAACGGTTAATTTCAGCCTCGCCAAGATATGTTGGCCACACTGTACTATGTATAAACACATTAAATATAGAAAAGAACAAAGCCAAGGTAATTTTAAAATAATATCCTTTTGTCATCTACTGCCTTTGCAGGGTAAATATATTCTTCTTAGTCTACTCTTGTTCATTATCTCCGATGCTGCTAATGACTGTTCCTCCCACTTCCAGAATAAACCCCCTCTCCCTGGTGGAGATCATAGCCCATGTGGTGAAGCAATACACCAATAAGAAGGAAGCCATCGCCTTCTTGGAGAAGATTGAGGGCAAAGTCAAGGCTAATGATGAAGCTCTTGCACTATGCAAGGTAAGAAGCTAAGAAATACCACTGCCTACAGCAAATACTTTTACATCGGACTTGCGAGACTGGCAAACTCTGAGTACCATTTTTTGTATATTGTCAAATATGCAATGTCACTTACAGAGCACTTTATGTGTAGAAGTAAATTGTCATCTTTACTGTTTAAACCTAACCTGGACTTCAACAAATATTCAAAATTAAAATTAACTGAGTTGGTCTAGACGTTTTAGAGATTTACGGGACTAAGAAACAGCAATTAATTTTTATACTATACAAGAAGAATAGGTAAGGAAAAGGCTTGATGAGTCACCTGATACACTCAGAATGCCAAAAGGGGTTGCATATGGGGGTCACCTCACTGACACAGTGAAACACAATACTAATGTACTGTGAGGTTGTAGTACGGTGGTATCACTCTGGTCTAGCTGACCTGACCTTTCCTGACAAAGCATTCTTTTATCATAAATTAATCATTAATAGCTCGGTTTTATCCAATGCTAGACTATTTCACTACCTTCCCCAAGAATATTATTCTATTTTGACATTTCAAAAGTACCTGATTATGTGTTATTTCTCTTAAAATGTTGCCCCATACTTGGAGTTTCTCCTGTGTCGTGAGTACGTTTACAAACATACAATTTCACATGCACAGCAAACCCAGACACGGAAAAACAATTTGTGGATTTTACAAAGAGTTGAAAAAGAACCTGCGACACGTGCGCTGCAGCTAGTTGCTCAGCCATCGAAGAATAAATGATTTTGACTTTTAACTTGATTGAACTTTATATATATGATTTGTTAATTTGGCATTTGTGACCTCTCCTCTTGGTTTTAGAGTTGAATCACCAATGTTATACCACAATATAAAATCTAAAACATCTAAAATTAAACAACATGTAATTACAGGTCCTCCAAGGTCAGATATACTTAGAACAGCTGAACGACCTGGATGCCACCGAGAAGATCATTGAACAGCTGGAGGGCAGCCTCGAAGACGCTGATGGAGTCACACCCGTGCATGGCAGGTTTTACAAGCTCGCTTCTGAGTATTACAGGTGATTACATCTATACTTGTTGAGTTCTATACTAATATTATAAAGACATATCTTTACAAAGTTTGTATGTAGGGGTAATCTTTGGAAACGCTGGTCGGATTTCCAAAATTATTTCACTAATAGATAGCTACACGCTACTATCAAAGATAGCGGGTGGAACAGCGCGAAAAAGGCTAGTCCAAACTAATATTATAAATGCGGAAGTAACTCTGCCTGTCTGTTTGTCTGTCTTTTTTTCACACCTACACTACTATACCTATTTGTGTGAAATTTGGTACAAACATAATTTGGAACTCGAGAAAGGACATAGAATAGTTTTTAAACTAAAAATTCAATTAAACAAAGTCGCGGGCAAAAGTTGGTATTAAATAATTTTCAAACAAATGGCTTATCTGTTCTGTTTGTGATAGAACTCATAAATCGCTTAATAGTTTTTGATGTGGTTTTTCTCTGACAGATTTGTGATTACTTCTATACTGCAAGAAAGTAGTGTGTATGATTTCTCCCTTTTTAGTGTGACTGTGAACACATTTTTATTTTGTAGTAGAGAAAATCATAAACATTTTTTGTCATTCAATTTCAATGGTTAGATAAAAGTTACCTGGGGAATAATTATGATGCTGTCGCGTCACAATGTTTGTATAAGACAGAGACAGCAACAATTTTATTCCTCAGATAACATTTGTCTGTCTACAGAAATCTTGACTGCACGATTGGCGCGGTGGCTGGGTAGCTGGCTGGCGCGCAACGTGTCGCGGGTTCGATTCCCGCACGGAACAACTCTTTGTTTGATTCACAGATAGTTGTTCCGGGTCTGGGTGTAATGTGCATGTGAAATTGTATGTTTGTAAACGCACCCACGACACAGGAGAAAATCCTAGTGTGGGACAACGTTTTTAAAAAAGAAAAAAAAAGAAGAAAGAAAGATCAGCTCTTTATAGAATTTATTATTATTATAAAAGATACAGACATTAGTTTTACTTTCAAGATCGTATAATTGAGTTATTCATAGATAGAGTTTAAAGTAATAATTTAATTCCCAGAGTCCGAGGTCCCATGGCGAAGTACTACCGCTCGGCGCTGCGCTACGTGGGCTGCGCGGGCGGGGGCGCAGGCCTAGCGCCGGAGGAGCGCCGCGCCACCGCACTCCGTCTCGCCCTCGCTGCAGTTATAGCACCCAATGTTTATGACCTTGGGGAGTTGGTTAGTGATATATCATATATTCTATAATATAAAAATGAATCTCAAAATGTGTTGGTAAGCGCATAACTCAAAAACGTCTAGACCAATTTTGCCAAATCCTTTTGTTTTGTGTTTACTATTGTCAGGAGAAGGTTCTTATGAAAGAAGATATTAGAAAAGTAGAGGGGAAAATTGGGGAAAAAGACCCTTTCATTGTAAGCGAGATAGTTGGACACTGACACTCCCTCCCGCCCCACCCTTGGCGGGAGAAGTCATTTGATAGTTTTCCCCTCACGGAAAAGAAAATAAGAACATTATATTTTATACTAACTTTCGCCCGCGTGGTATGTTGATAAAAAGTAGCCTATGTCCTATTCCGGAGTGTATCCTAATATTTATTTATATTATCTCCATAATATTTATATGACGGATTGCATAATAATTATTGGTATGCGTCGCCATTACGTAATACAAATACATTTGAATTATTACTAAATGATAAATTGTTTGTGGCACATAGACAGAGAATAGTGAATAGACTTTTTGATCGAATGGATTGGAAGCGCGAGCGTCGCTTTCATTCGTTCAGTGTTGCCACTGACAAATGTGACTGTAAGGCGTCTATTATTTAGTAATTTTAGTACTTTATTTTTCTGTTTTTTTTTTTACTCTATTTTTTAATCATATATGGTTTGTTTTTTTGTAGTACTATATTTAGTATATTATCTAAACAATTATGAAAAACATATTTTTAAATACTTATTTTCTTAGCTTAAGTTTCTGCACAGATTGGCGTCATGCGTTAGTGTCGGCCATCGCTGAAAATCAACGCAGCGACCCCGTCTCGTACGGGGTCGCTGCATTATGCTGAGCGTGGGCCATTTCGCGTGTTTGGTCGCATATTTTTCTCCTACCTACCTACTTTTGTGATATTGTTTTTACCATGTATTTTTATTCTTAACTGTATTTTATTATCTTGTTTTGTGTCTTTTATGTGTCCCGGACGCGAATAAATACTTTTTCTTTCTTCTTTCTATCCTATGCCTGTGCCAGATTTAATTCAGATCCGTCCAGCCGTTTTGGCGTGATTGAGTAACAAACATCCAAACATTGTAACTTTCGCATTTATAATGTTAATAAGATTGTTTTTTCTTCGCTTACAGCTAGCTCACCCGATCCTGGAGTCCCTGCAAGGTACTCCGGACGCGTGGGCCTGCGAGTTGGTGAAGGCAGTAGCGTCGGGCGACGTGGCCCTCTTCGAGAAGGTCCGCGCCTCCGCCCACCATCCCGACCTCGCGCGCACCGACAGACAACTGCGCCAGAAGATAGCTATCTTATGCTTGATGGAGGTAAAAACTTTTAAATTTTTAATTCAAATGATTATACAGTCAGTTGTTGTATATTGAAACATCAACAGTAACTCCCAATGCCATTAAAAGTTAAAACTTTTTTTTATCTGCATCAATAATTGACTGCACGGTTGGTGCGGTGGCTGGGCAACTGGCTGCCGTGCAACGTGTTGCGAGTTCGATTCCCGCGCGGAACAACTCTTTGTGTGATCCCCAAATTGTTGTTCCGGGTCTGGGTGTCATGTGTATGTGAAATTGTATGTTTGTAACCGCACCAACGACACAGGAGAAAATCCTAATGTGGGGCAACGTTTTTTTTAAACAAAAAAAAATATGTATGTGGATGGAAAAACCATTATTAAACAACATAAGCTTCGCTTCTTCAAGCTGTTTCTCCCGCTCTTTCTGATTTCTGATTTTTATATGTTATTAGCTGATGGTAAGCAATGGGCGTGCGTTACGGACCTTTTGGGGATTAGAGTTTCTGAGATTTTGGAATTGGTTTTCAAAAACGAGCGTACTCCTTCTTAAAAGGCCGGCAACGCACCTGTGATTCCTCTGGTGTTGCAGGTGTCCATGGGCGATGGCTTACCATCAGGTGATCCGTCTGCTAGTTTGCCTCCTATTCCATTAAAAAAATGGGGATGGGACGGATTGGACCTCCGGTAACCTCATTCACACGGCGAAATACAACATAAGTTTTGCATCACGTCACTAAGTATTTGTGTTTTTCAGATGGCCTTCAACCGCACGTCAGCTCAGCGCAAGTTGACCTTCGCAGAGATCGCCCGGGAAGCCAGGGTGCCCATAGACGAGGTGGAATTGCTGGTGATGAAGGCCCTCGCTGAGAAACTCATTAGAGGACATATTGATCAGGTAATTGGTTGGTGGTTTAGCTTAGTATGTCGTTCTCAATAGATTTTGGACTTAAAGGAGTCAAAACCTGCCAAGTCTATAAGGAGATTACCTGATGGTAAGCAATACTCGCCTCCCGCTCCTAGACGCATCACAGAAAAGTGGCCAGGGCGTTGCTGTCCATTTTTTTATGATACACTGGCAAACGGGCTAACCTTTGGTATTATTATTATTACCTGATGGTAAGTAATCGGCGCGGCCCATGGGCATTAGCAACACCAATGTAGTTTCAAGACTGTTGCCGGCAGTATGGAGGTATGGGTTTATAGAGATTCAAGGATTGGAGAAGGATGGGGGAGGGGAAGGATTGGTTTTCCAGTAACCTCACTCACAAGGCGAATCACAAAGCTGTGCTTCAAGCCAGTTTTCTATGAGGCCGTGGTATCACTCCAGTAGAACCGGCCCGTTCGAACCGAAGCATGGATTTGCTACTATTAAAAATTAAAATGTCAATAAGACTCATGACCTAACGTACCATTTTTCTTCGTAGGTGAACAGTACAGCGCACATTGGCTGGGTGCGTCCCAGGGCTCTGCCCCGCGCGGGGGCGGCGGCGCTGGCGGCGCGGCTCGATGCCTGGTGCGTCGCCGTCGCGGGGGCCGCTGACCTGCTCGCTGGGGCTGCGCCCGACCTACTCACTGCATAGCATTCAGATCAACAGGTATATGCTTAATGCTGCTTCCTGCGGATTTTTGTTTAAAAGTTATCCTATGTCCTTTCTCGAGTCCCAAATTTAATTTTCACAGAAATCGGTTCAGTAGTTTAGGCGTGAAGAAAAGACAGACATGCAAAGTTACTTTCGCATTTATAATATTAGTTTGTATATTTAATATTTATATATTTATAAAGTAATAGGTGTTTTGTCTCGCGAGCTGAAGCCTCAGGCGGTAGCGACTATAAGATATAAATATACTTAAAGTATCAGTGCAGTCCCAGGAAAACTAATACACTCAAACTTTGCTTACCATCAGGTGATCAAGTTATAGGAGAGAGGACGATTAATTTTGTAACTTTGGTAGGATTATTGATCCTGATATGGCACCAACATTCAAATATATTTTTATCTTTTAAAAAAAATTCTCGTGTCACAATGTTAGTTACCTTAATCCTCCGAAACGGCTTTACTGAATTTCACCAAATTTCATATGCATATTCAGAAGGTCTGAGAATCGGCTACTGACTATTTTTTATACCCCTAAGTGATAATGGTTGTTCACCTTAACATTTTTTCTAAACAATTTATATGGCATAACAAAGTTTACCAGTTTTTTATGGAAACGAGCAGACAGATTACCTGATAGTAAGTAATCAGCGCCGCCCATAGACACGCAAGCAACACCAAAGGAGTCACAGGCGCGTTGCCGGCCTTTTAAAAAAAAGTACGATCGTTTCTTGAAGGTTTTAAGGTCGTAACGGTTCGGGAATACCGCTGCCGGGGCAGCTAGTTTCTTTATAACATACGAGATAGTTTTTCATAACAATTTTTGAATTTTATATTATTTCTTTGCAGGCACCTGGTTCAACAGAGGGCGCTGCAGGCGAGTGAACGAATGTATTTGTCAAATCTTCCTCCCAACTAATATTTACAGTAACAATAAACGTTAATTCTAAATATATGTGTTTTATTTACCACCAACAACGATCCGTCTTGTCTTTGAAAGCCCATTGTCAAACTTACTAACAGACTAAGGGGACTAACAGACCAGGGGTCGGAGCCCCCGTACCTTATTGCGCTTGTCCCGCAATTGGGTAGTTTCCTAGTTCAAAAATAAATTATTTCGACGTTTCAATACAATAAAATATTGAAAAATAACTATACTTTTATTCATCGATCGATCGATACACTAATTTTTAGATATTTTTTTAGCTAATTATTAAGAAATAAGTTTGCAAAAAAGTTATGACGTCATAGCTCAGTTTTTCATACAAATTTCATAGGAAAGTATCGTTTTTGATGTTTGAATAAAAGTATTGAATTTGACTAGCTGGAAACTACCGAATTTTCCCGGCTGCCATCATAGCAATTGATTTTCAATAAACAGTGATTTCAACAACTCATCAATTTTAGCATAGTCAACAAAAAAAAAATGTGCTATTTCACCTGTGTTTGGCTGCCTCATAGACCTTCATAATAGTTTTAAAAATAAAATAAATACTTGTGGTTGATTTTTTAAGGTTTTTTGTGAGGGGAAAATCATCAAATGACTTCTCCCGCCCAGGGCCGGGCGAGAGGGAGTGTCAGACTCTTACTGACTAAAAACCCCCCTGTTCCTTCTCCTGCTCTGGGCCGAGGTCGCGGTGCCTCATCGCGCTTACCCCGCAGCCCCGGCTGAACATCAGCCCTATAGGGCCCCGTCTGTGGTGGTCTATTGGCTCTTTGAGGCGCGCGCGGAACGCTACGCGCCGTACGCTCGGGCCTGGTTCTGGTCGGGCGGCGAGCTGCCCTTACTCGCCGACCGCAGACCCGGTAGCCGAAAATAATCTCTGGATTTTTTTTTTAGTGTATGTATCTCGACACACTATCTGATAGATTACCTTATGTAAAGCAATCGGCGCCGCCCATGGACACTTGTAACACTAAAGGAAATAGATATAAGTAAGTTGCCAGCCTTTCGGATATTTAAGGATTGGAAAGGGATGGCATATACAATAGTAGGTACGCGAACAACAAAACACTACTTAGGAGTTCTGGAATAATTGAAGATTTCAATCTAATTTTTTTTTTATGTAATTGTTCGGCAAACGAGCAGACGGATTACCTGATGGTAAGCAATCAGCGCCGCCCATGGACACCCGCAACGGAGGAGTTACGAGTGCGTTGCCGACCTTTTAGGGATTAGGGATTGGGGGCGGGGAAGGATTGGGCATCCGGTAACATCACTCACACGGCGAAACACAACGCTGTGGTTGTTTCACGCCGGTCTTCTGTGAGGCCGTGGTATCACTCCGGTCGAGCCGACCCATTCGTGCCGATTGCCGTACCGTTCACATTTAAGTGTGGGAGAACCATACTTCGGCACGAATGGGTCCAAATCTCTCAATCCCCAAAGGTCGGCAACTCCTCCGTTGTTGCGAATGTCCATGGATATCGCTTTGCTTACCATCAGGTAACACGTTGAATCATTTGGCGATCTAACACATAAAAAAAAACTTGAACGGAGCTGTCCTCCTTCTTGGGTCGTATTCCTCATTGCTGAGGGTCTCTTGACCATCATTTTACGTCACTTTTTCTCCCACGATCTTCCTCCATCTTATTCTATGACGGGCAGTGTGGAGGGCACTGTGAATAGCAGAATCTAAAGCAGTTCTGATATGATCAGAACAACGTTTATGTGCGTCGTCCGGAGCGATACCACGGCTTCACAGGAAACCGGCGTCAAACAACCACAGCTTAGGTATATCCGCAATTCCGCATCCCTTTGTATCTGGGTGTAATGTGTATGTGAATTTTTATGTTTGTAAACGCACCCTCGACACAACAGAAAATTCATGTTGGGAGATTAAAAAAAAATGTGAAACTGTTGTACCAATTTACGTACATCATATTATAGAATCTGGATAGACTAGGCCAGCTGTTAGATAATAAAGGAACATCGGACATCAATTTTTATAAAAGAAAAACATGTCACAGAAATCATTTAAGTACAAAATAATAGACAAAATAGCCTTCTTAGTAGTTTACACAAATATTAACAGATGTCACTGTCTTTCTGCGCCATGTTGGAAAATTCTCCTTCTAGATACTTTTTTTAAGCAACAGATGGCGTTATTGTCAAATTTCACACAATCGATACAGATTCCAAGTGAGATAAGGCCATCAATGAATGAATGGCGCCTATATTATAGAAACCCAGTTATCTCCTCCCGAATACATAATCTAATAGATCATATCTACTACGCAATACATTATAACGTCGATAACACAAGACCTTGAGTTTTAGAAGGCGTTCTCTAAGCAAAAACACGACATTTCTACTGATTTCTAATACAAAAAATGTATCGCCATTAAGTGGATTCATGCTTGACTGTCGTCCGAGATGAAAAACTCGCCTCTAACGAGAGAGTATGAATCAATGTTTCATTATAATACAGATTCACTTGAATGAACATTCATAATTTCTTGTTGCGCACTGAATTTCTTAGAGTGATATCAAAGTCTAGCTAAATAGGCATTTTGACAGTGTCCGTAATGAGACACTTAAGCATTTTTTTCAGTAAAAGTTGCACTTAGCGATAAGAAAAATCGATATTTTCTACTGACGTACACCCCACACCGTCTCTTAGTTTGAAATTGCCGCGTGTGACGTCAGCCGAGCCTAATGACGTCACGCGGCCTCCCGCCTGACGGAGATCTCTCTACCCATTTCTTTCTAACGTTGGACACATGAATTACATAGAGCGAGACAGCGCGAGTCGCGTAAAGGTTGTGAATCGAGTTCTTATTTTCATGAGCCTGTGTTGTTCAATTGAATCCCTACGTATTGATAAGAGAAACACTGATAAGAGTGTCTGTCAACACCTGTTTGACATTCGTGGCTACATCATCATGATGGTCAGTTAAAATCATTGTGTTTTCGTACAGTGTCGCGCGTGAAAATGTGAATTTTATATAAATAAAATAGTTTTTGTTAATGAAACATCGAGGGGCGCACATGAACATCCCAAAGCGAATGACGTGAGTGACAGTGGCGCCATTGCGGCAGTCGGCCCGAACTAGCGCCAGTAGACGAATTTCGCTCGGTGGGTAATGAGAGGCTGAGCGAATTACTTCAAGTTTCTCACGAAATGGCCAGCAATATGAAGCCAATGCACAAAACCAAACATTTCCCGATAGACCAGCTCGTGTGTGTTGGCAATTACGAGCTGGAGAAAACGATTGGCACGGGGAATTTCGCTGTTGTAAAACTCGCTACACACATTATAACTAAGAGTAAGGTGCGTACCCTTTTGTCGTAATGTCGCGTATCACTGTGGTTTTAGTGTTTCATTCCTGTATTACACGTTTGTAAAGTGTATCCGGAGGTGTAAGTGCGATCTCATCAGTGCAGTGCGCGTTTTTCGTGTTGTGCTAAGTGGTTTTTTTCCATTCGTCCAAAGCCTTTCGTCGGCGCAGCGGTCAGGTTTGCCAAACATTACAATATAACCCGTTTTAATCTACAACTAGCTGATGTATGAGGGGCGAGAACGTGTTTGTTAAAAAAATAACATTAAACAAACCAGTTTGATTGTACATTGTTTACTATTAAACCGGCTAACATGTCGACACTTTTCCAATCAGTCGGTTTATACTGAGAAAAAAAATTCGTGAAAAACGTTTTCAAGTGTAGAATTTTATTTTTTATGCCTTTGCATTGTTTTAACTTTTTAATTGAGTTCCAAAATGGCGGGAATGGACGATGATTTATTTTTCAGCGATCTCTTGTACATTGTTTTTTGCGTCAATTATTATCAATTGATGTGTTCATTCAATGTTCAGTTGATCAATTACAGAGTTATTGCTGGTACTATATTGTTAAATGCGTACTATGAGCGGGATGGAGCGAATGTCGTCTACATTAAATTTGTCGACTTATTCCAACTGAATCGATTTTGTAGGAACAAAGTCAGTAGTTGTAGATAAGTTATCTTAAACAACACAAAACATAGTCACGATACTATCTGAAATACTGATAGAGACATTCTTTGTGTATCCTACCATTGTCTTGTGAAAATTTGACACTTTACCAGAATTTGTGGAGCCGTTTCTGAGAACAGTTCATAATAATGAGTAAACAAACATAATGAAACTATGTGTTTACCATAAACACCTGACATATTGATATTACATAACATAAAGGTTGTGACTTTATGAAAGGCTCTATTTCTTATTAGAATCTCCTTGGTTATTCTAACAAGGTAAATAACTCTCTGAACAAAAAAAAGGTCAATAAGAAAAAGTCCACACTTTCTTATTATTAGTCATGGCAGCCTATATTATTAAATGTACATTTTATGTATTATAATGACTATGACACAAATGACATAGGACAATAATACTGATGATTTTTAAATCAATAGTATTAATCAGTCACAACATCTTATAAGGCCTTTTACTTTCCGAATAAATCGGAAGAGGCACAGATTATTATGAATTTCTTTTTACCTCATAGTATAGGGAACTAATAATGACCCTTATCACCCAATTAGGACTCCATTTTACATTAATAAAGAGTTTTATAACTGTGTACTTGACAACTATAATATATTTTATTTAGGTCTCTACGGACTTGTATCCGTGCCCTTGGCATATTATTTTTTTTTAAATACACTACTTGATACCTCGTCAAATTCAAGACATTATTTATATCAAGAATATTGACAGTTTCCTATAGATTTTTCATAGGATTGTGTGATGTGATGTTGATTTTTTTATTATATGTCAAATTGTATATGAATATTAAAATCAATAAACAAAATTTTGATTAGTTATTCTTATTTTTAATATTCCATTGAGTTTTGAAAATAATAATACTTACTTAATAATTCATTTATTGATGCAGATGACTAAGATCCATTTTGTTACTAATTACAAAGACTAACTTATAAGCTATTGTTAGTAAAATTACATAAAACTTTAATAATTGAACTCCATTAAAAAGTGGCAGTCATTTGTTTTTGACTTAGTTAAGTGGGTAACTGATTTACTCTTTGTTCTATCTAGTAGTTGGCCGCTTTCTAATTCCATGTGTGACAGCAATAGTACCCATCAAAAAGGTTCTATTTTTTATCTGTTCTAATATGGACTAAATTTTTCTCATACAACTGCTAGTCAACCTGTGTCTAAGCTGTTTAAGTCAATGTCATATAATTACCTAATTTCAATTAGACAAAATATGTTAATAAAAAAGTGTCAGTCTGTCGGTCAATTTACTGGTAAAGCTGTACTTTTTGTTCCAAAGTGAAGATTTCTATGTAGAAGAACGAGCAAGAAACTCCATGGTTACTCTTTTCCAAACAGTTTAATTCTTTGTTAGTGTTTTCCAAAATCAAATTCTTTTTTGCTTTGTATTTTGATTGTAGAACTCAGTAGTCTACTTTGAATATGCTTAATTTGCTCATTGATAACCATAGACACATAATATTAGTAACTATCGAACTACTTAATTATGTGTTTGTAACTGTCCAACTGTCTTGCTATTAGTAAAAATCGTAAAATTTAAACCTTAGGCCAACAGATTACTGTTGAGGCCAAATCCTCCGCTAGCATGGCCCTAATGTTGTCCCTAATAGTTTTCAAGGTTTTAATGTATGTTGGAATCCCAAAACTAAAGTTACTAACTTACTAAATTGTGTGAACAACACTATTGAGCGTGCTCTATGCTACATTCCTATCTTCATTCACTCATTCACTTCTATCTTGAATCTTTAAGAGGCATGTCAATTGAATCTAGTGTTTTCCTGACTAAAATAATTATACTTTAATATGACAACAATCCAAACTAATATCATAAATGCAAAAGTGACTGTCTGTTTGTCTGTCTTTTCTTCATGCCTAAACTATGGAACCTATTTGTGTGAAATTTGGTACAGACATAGTTTTGAACGCGAGAAAGGACATAGAATAGTTTTTAAACCAAAAATCTGCAGGAACTCACTATTCCACGCAATCAAAGCTAGTATTAATATAAACCCACTTTTGCAACTAGCAGATTTCCTGAATAACAAGCCCTCAACCCTTTTTTCTTTTCCCTCAAACTCTTGTTAGTTACTTCACTTATAACTCAAGAACGGCTGAACCGATTTAGCTGAAAATTCGTAGGGAGGTAGCTAAGAACTGGGAGAAGGATATAGGATAGGATAAGATAAGATAGAGTAGGTAGAGTATGGTAGGTAGAGTAGGGTAGGTAGTGAAATGACGGGAGCAACGCCGCGGGTAAGAGCTAGTATTTACATAAAAAATGTTCCCTTGTTTTTCAAATTAAAATTCCCTCTAGCAACACAGAAGCTTGTGTCTTTGATCTTTTTAAGAAGTAAAGCATGTTAGTCTATGTCTGCGATGCAGGATTAATAATATAATTGCCTTGTTTGTTAACTGGTTGCTCACAAGTAACACCAAGATTGCTTCAGTTTAATAGATAGGGCAAAGATGGAGTTGGCTGCGTGACGTCTCCGCGACGCGCACGCTGCTCATGAATAAGAGTCCCGTTTTCACTTGAAACTAGTAGAGGTTTTCTCAGTTAATAAACATTTTTTTTATGTAAACGATCGGCAAACGAGCAGACGGATTACCTGATGGTAAGCAATCAGCGCCGCCCATGGACACTCGCAACGGAGCGGAGGAGTTACGAGTGCGTTGCCGACCGATTAGGGATTTCGAGATTTAGGGATTGGGGAAAGATTGGGCCTTCGGTAACCTCACTCACACGGTGTGTGAGATCCACGCTTGGGCACGAATGGGTCGGCTCGACCGGAGTGATACCACGGCCTCACAGGAAACCGCCGTGAAACAACCACAGCGTTGTGTTTCCCCGTGTGAGTGAGGTTACCGGAGGCCCAATCCTTCCCCTCCCCCAACCCTCCTCAATCCCTTAATCTCCAAATTCCTAATCCATTAAGGTCTGCAACGCACTCGTAACTACTCCGTTGCGAGTGTCCATGAGCGGCGCTGATTGCTTACCATCAGGTAATCCGTCTGCTCGTTTGCCGATCTATTACATAAAAAACAAAAAGAAATTTGATTAAAATGAAAGTAATTATAGTTACCTACTGATCCATTATATATCTATCTCTGTCCCAAATTTTATTAAGAATCTCGCACCAGTAATTACGACTGCATAGTTGGCGCAATGGTCGGACAACGGGCTGCTTTGCAACGTATCGCGCGTTCGATAGGTAACCAAACGGAACAACTCCTTTTATTATCCAGAGATTGTTGTTCTGGGTCTAGGCGTGATGTATATATTTATAAACGCACCCAAACACGAGAAATATGAGTGTCATGCACAAATTTTTTATGAAAAAATGTCAATCTATCTCAATGCCAAATTACATCAAGATGCGTTTAGCCGTTTAGATGATTGAGTAACGAAACTTCTATACGTCTAACCTTTCGCATAATTAATTATAACATTCGCATAGACACGTAATGTATAATATTACTTAAACCTGTTTTTGACACACGACGATTCACGATTGAACAGTGAAGCCTATAATCCGTCTCTGTCCCAAATTTCATCGCGATTCGTCCAGCTGTTTTTGTTGTTATTGACATGAGCGGTTTTTTTTATCAAATACTTATATAAAAATGTTTGATTTTGAACTTTTCAATTTGAGACACAATAGAAGAACAATAGGTTTGATGAATTAAAGAAGTGTGTCGGAATGGCAGACTCTTACTGATTACTACTACTTACCTACCGCCTTAGAGACACCTAATGATTTATATTCAATATTGTTAGACCTTGGCTTCATATAACATTTCTAACTAACAGTATTTTTAAAAAGTTGTAGTGGCCTGGAGGATAAGGAGCCCGCTTCTCATGCATGAGGGTGTGGGCTCGAAACCTGGTCCAGTACCAATGTCAATTTTTCCAAGTTATTTCTTCAAAAGACCACTACAGAATTAACTTGCACTGTTCTCTTACATTATACCTATTATTTTTACATTGTCTGGACTTGAAAAGAGACTGGCCTCTGAGTTTGTTTCGGCATTTCTTCTCAGAGTAGTCGGATAGGAAATGCCGGCTTCATCTAGTTTTTTTCACATATAATTTGACGTGTAAAAGTGCTATTTTATGGCCTATTTGCAAAAATAAATTCAGTCTTTCATTGAAAGTATTTTAGCTGTGGGCTTATATATTAGTATCAATATGTCCTGCCTAATAGGCATATAAAATTAAGTATTAGTTAGGTATTGACAGTGGAATTATACGGTAGTTTCCAACTAGTCAAATTCA